AAGTTGAAGGAATAAAATAACTTTAACCGTGAACGAGAAAAGTTTGGAAATTTTTAATATTTTTCATTTAATTAATTTCAAACTTAATTTTTTAATGATTGACATTCAATTATTGGTACATAATTTTCCATAAATTATTTTAGGGTGTTTCGATAAATTTATTTCAGCGTAAATACTAATAATTACGTGTGTTATGTACAATAATATGTACAGTGATAAAAAAAAATGAAATAAAAAACGGACTACTCTGAATAACTTTTAATCTAACGATCAGATCTTCATGTTCAAGGACTGAAACTTAATGGCTCAAAAGGGTGACCTCGAATATGCTTATCATTTAGCGCAGACGATATTTTAAGTTACGGATTTAGACACAAAAAGGTACTTTCTCTGAATAAACATGCCTTTTTTCGACGGATATTGATTTATGACCCCCAAAATATAGGGGATCGCTGCAATCTGGGAAATATGGTCCTCATAGTTCGGTCAGAAGAGCGATCTAAAACTCAAACCCCTTAATGTTAATTTTACTCTTAGCGCATTTCGCCATATCTCGCGAATTTTTTAAACGATTTGAAAAGTTTTCTCATGCGATTTTAAAATTCGCTTTAAAAAATAATTCCATGCAAAAAAGAAATGTTTGTAAATATTTATTATGTTTTATTATTTTATTAAATAATAGTCGAAAAAAGTTTGAATGCTAAGGTATAAAATTTTTTTATGCCATTTTAAAGTATGTAATTTTACTTAGTGAAGTACAAAATTAGCGCGAAATCGGTTGAACATTTCCTGAGAAATCGAATTCAATCGAAAATTCGATCAAAAACCAAATTTTACGGTTTTGCCTCACTGCCTTATCAAGCAAATTAGTCATTAAAAACTTTATCACAATTTACTTATACTAATAAATGAAAAAGGGTTAAAAGTAGCAAGAAAGTGAATGAAAATTTTGTCATGAGTTCAAGCCCGACACGGCTCGTAACATAGCTCTGAGCTTTGTTATTTTTACTTTCCAATTCATACTAAGTTTTATATGATTTTTGAATTGTTCGCTTGTATGAATCTATTTATCGATGAGATTATGAGACTTTATTTCATGATTGGAATTTACATGTTTATCAATGTATCAATGAATCAAATTTTTTCATGAGTCCAAGCTCGACGCTGCTCAGCTTTAATATAGCGCTGGGCTTTGTTATTTTTACTTTCCAAGTTTTATATGATTTTTGAATTGTTCTCTTGTAAGAATCTATTAATAGATGAGATTATGAGACTTCATTTTACTGTTGGAAGTTTCACAAGCTTATCAACTTATGCAAAATCCATATTTTGTCTTTCTACTGTATTATTCTCCAAATGGCAGTTTTTTGGCAGAATATTTTTACAAAATTTTTTTTCAATTATAATTTTTGAAAAGTAATCTCGATTTAGATAATCTGGAACTTCTGATTATCGATAACCATAACCGACATTATGAATGACTTTTCAAAATCATTTTAAATCGTAAAGGTATGAAAAATACATAGAAATATTCAAATTAAACTGTATTTAATCAAATGGCGTCGCAAATCACATTCTGTTTTCATGCGAATTTTACGAATTTTGCTATTTCTCGTTTTTTTTTGGTCTCAAATTAGACGTCTTGTTGATTTTTGAAATTATTGTTTCCTATTATAGGCTACGATAATATCGCGATAATTATCTTCCTAGATAAATATCGATACATTTTTTCATATTTATAATTATTGAATGCGACATTATCATGTGTGTTGATAAATTTCGTTTTGGCAACAAATATGCGGAACAATGCAAAAATAATGTCAATTAGGTAATTTGGAAAAATATCTCAATATATCAGGAAATATCAATATTTTCGGCCGATCTATCACAATATTTAAATTTGAATGTAGCCAATCATTAGTGATCATCAAAACTGTTTGAACACCTTTTTCATAATATTGCCAAGATTTGCTTATGACCTTTTAAAAATATTTTAATATTTTTGATGTATAAACTATAGTAAAATAGATAAATTAATGCTTATAAAGATAAAATATCAGAGTTTGCGTTGCATGAATGCATTACCCAAACTCGGTAACGTTTATTTTATAACTTTTTCGTTTATATTCATAGATTCAAAAACTAAGATTCCTTTCAACATCCTTTTAACGGAAATAATATAATTCTCAAACATTTCTCTATTGTTGTATATTTGACCTTGTCTGAAATGGGGCACATTTTCTGCGTCTTCGTGGAGCTTTCAGGTTTCTGTGAGTTATGAAGCAATGCAAATAGCAGATGATCTTCTTAAATATGTACACTTAAAGTAATACATTTTTATTTAAACAATGAGTCATAAAAAGTCACTAATGGTTTTCATATTTTTTATGATTATTTATTATTTCTTTGTGTTCACTGTACGACAACTTTTAAGCTGAAACTTACAGATTTAGCTTCCGATTCTTTTGTTTATTTTAAATGAATAAGGAACTTAATATATTTGCAAATAGGATTTATTTATTTTTTTATAATTTCGAACAATAAATAAACTGGTCATGATAAAGAAAAATTAAAATTATATTACTTACTAATCTGATAAGTATTTGCATACCTAATATTTGTTAAGTTAAATACATTTCTTGGCTTTTTTTCAGAAAAATATTATATTAGAAAACTAAGCGTTTTCTAGAAATTAATTTGATAATGCTTTTGCGAAATTTTTAATTAGTTTAAATTAATCAAATAACTTTATTCGTTATTAATATTAATTTTAGTTTAATTTTTTATTTAGCAGTTTTAAAATTTTTTTTTTATTATTTTCTTATCTGAGAATTATTTGATGTAATCTAAACTACTTAAATTTACTCTTTTTATAGAAAGTATTTCATTTTAATAAAATAACCTGATCTTGTGCAAAGTTGACTTATTTTCAAACATTTTAAAGGCAGTATAAATGTTTGCGCACTTATGTTATAAATTCAAATTTTAATACCTTTAATTTTGTGAGAAACTTTGAAACTATTTGTTTTAAAATTTTTTGTACGGAACTTTAATTATTTAAACTCAAATTTTTAAAAAAATTGAGCGCTTCTTTCTAGAAATTAATTTTATTTTGAGATCTTTTGTTGATCTTGTACGCAAGAATGTGATTTTAAAATTTGAAGATATTTTAATACGTAGATTAATTAAATTATAAGTCTATAATTATAATTAAAGACAATTTTTATAAATAGAAAATAAGACAAATTATTTTACATTTGCTTTAGTAATCTTTTTTAAATAATTTTTGCTTGAAGATGAAGATTACGAATGTTCGTTTCTTAAAAGATACACGAAGAAATATAATTGTGGTAAAATTACCGTATTGTAAAGTCATTTCTGGTAAAAAAAAATACTGGTTATAGAAACCAAAATATACGGTATTAAAAACATTCATGAACAGTTTTTACATTCATATGGTAACAGTTTACAGGAAATTCCGCATGATTTTTAAAATTATAGTTTTTATTACAACACATTTAGTTAAAAATACAAAGCTGAAAAGTAAATGTAACCGAATAAATGGCTTTTATGCCATGATTAAAAGTATCATGATAAAAGTAGCAAATTTTACCCCTTTCACAAACTTTTTTAAAAATTTTATAAAATTATATTTTATAGTTATTTTTACCGAAATCATTATCAAAGTACTTCGGTACAAATTACCAAGTTTTTTGCTGTTTTTATTGAGCCAGAAATGCAGTAAATTTTAACATATTCTGGTAGTTTTGACAATATCTTTTTTCTCAGTGTTGCGAAGTTGATATTTTCCTAAAATTTACAAAGTTGGCTCTTAAGTGCGGGTAAAGTTTCCCAGATAAAAAAACGGTACCTAAAGAAACCACATTGAAATTACTTCAATTTTTACCATACCATACCCCAGGTGTCAATATCGACCATTTTGCTGAGCCCTGGTTTAGGTGAAAACCTTTCGTTTCATCAAAGCACTCTGCAGCCCAATTTGGCTCCTGCAGTGAGCTGATCGTAAAGCATCACTGGCTGTGGTCAGTAAGCGGGTGGGGCACCACTTTCATAAGCCTGCGTCGGGACAAAGGGTGCTCGGTGTCGTCCTCGTTAAACTGTTCTACCATAAAGTTCTGCGCAGGTTGCTGGGCTACCAAAGCAAGGGAGCCCTTTACTGAGCAGGAGATCAAAATTGCGATAGCTTGTCTTCGGATCATCCTCAGGGATGTTTCCCAGACCGTTGCCAATATCCCATTGTGCAGCTCTAGTGCGACGTAAATAAATTATCTACCTTCCTACAGCATAATCTGGAAGTGTGGCTCTTATTTACATTCTCAAGCTCATCAAGTGAAAGCGGAAGTTTAGTAAACAGCTTATTAATGTGGTTTAGTTCTGAAATTAGAATACGGAAAGTTTAAAAAAAATATAGTTATAAAGCACACTTTTTTCAAAGGGAACATTTTAACTTCGAGCTGTTTCGTAGTACTTGTTCCAGTCAGGTACCTAACAAGTATTCACAATTATCATTAGGGAACAGCTTAATACGTGCAACCATCTTGCTGTCATAGTAAAAATCATGGCGTTTCCCCCAAAACAATATCCTCAATAACTTTAATGAGTGGCTTATCATTATTCTGCCCTTCAATGGAAACGAAATCGTTTTGTAAACAGCTTCTTGATGTTTTGTACATTTCACAAAACTAATTTTCTCAATAGAATAAAACTTGACATTCTCTTCTAATTTTTCAATTAAATCGCTAGATTTAAAAAATTGAAATTTAGACAAAAATACCTCATGTAAATTTCAGTTCACTTTTAATTTCTCCATTCCATGTTTAAGCCTTTATTAGCAAAAATCAATAGATAAGCTCAATAGAAAGATCATGTGTAAAACTGAAAACATTTTCTGGCTTATCTTATTCAATAGTGGCATTTGGAGGGAAGTCTTCTGCAGCGCCATCCCTTCACCGCCTTTCTGGAGGCAGACGATTATTCTGTCTCGGATACTGAAAGAGAGCAGACGACAAATAATTTTGTTCTATCTGAGGGAAAAAGTCATGTGCTCCCGCTGAGTTGAATTCAATAACGTGGGAGCAAATTTCCTTAGCTCTAGGCTGTTTTGGGGGTGAAAGTACTATCAAAATGTCCTATTAGTATTTTCGAATTTATTCTAGGTGCGTTCTAAAAAAAAAGAGTTTAAAACTTTTTGTTCAGTTTTTGTGAAAAGAAGATAAATAGTGGTAAGTAAGAAAAGAAGAATGAATTTATTTTTAAAAAAAGTTATATTTTATTGATGACAGTCATGTAATGTAAGCATATATTTTTCTTTTACATAAGTAAAATGTGCAAAAAATTATGGTTCGCATACTTTTATTTTCCAGATACACTATAGGAACTTACTTAAATTTTTTTTTCTCAACATTTATATGGTAAAATGTATCTTTTATTATGTGCTCGTATAATTCTAAATATTGATGTCGTGTTTCAAAAAATTGCAATAAGGCAAATTTTTTTATTAAAAAAATAGCTGCAACAGCTTTATTAAAAAAATAAATAAAATAGAACAATTTTGAAAATAAATAAAGGATTTATGTACTATTTACATTTTTATATTTTATTTGCATATGCTTCATTAAAATATTGGTCTATTTAATTTTTTGAACAAAAGTAGTAAGCAAAAAATAACAAAAAGTTATAATAAAAATTTAAATTTTTTTAAACTTCAGATAAAAGTTAAATAAACTGCAAAATCTTAAGTAAGTTTAATGCGAAAACTCTTCGTTAAAACATTATCAAATAATGTTTTGAGCTCAAGAAGCATAATGTTAATAAAATCATTATAAAAGGAAATCGTGAGTATATCTTCAAAGCCTAACAATAATCATAAAAACTAAGATATTGCTTTACAGATTAGAGCGCAGAGCTTTTTATAAAAATATTTCTTTACTTTTTCTCTTTTGAAAAGATTATAATGATAAAAATCCAAGAACTTAATAAGGTGTAAACTTCAAGTTTATAATTAAGTTGCAAAAATTATTAAAGTGCACAAAAAACCAGGTAGCCGAATAACCGCAAACAAATTTTTGAAACATTTAATTGAGAATTTTTAAATTTTTATTTATCTATATTATGTATTAAAATAACATATTTATAGTGTGAAATTTGAAATTGTTTGCTGAATTTCTTGAGATGAAAAAAGGTCAAAATCTGTAAAAACTGTCTAGGCGTTTGCAAAAAAACGTCAAAATCTGTATTTTTTATTTATTTATTTATTTTTTTTTTTGCAAACACCACCTAACTTTTTTTTTTTGAAACAAATTAACTACAGGATTGTAATATTTATTAGAAATGACTACAATTTTCAAATAATTTATGACTAAAATCACAGCGCAATTGAAAAACACATGTCGAAACTGAAATTATTTATTTAGCTTTAAAACAATAAACTATTTAAATTAGCTATAAAATAATTAACTATTTAATTAGCTTTAAAATGAAAAATAATTTTTTTTATCAATTAGTGGGTAGTCTGCTCCACACGCTGATTAAAAACGTATGGTCTAAACTACCAGTAAATGATGAAATTTACCGTATTTCTTTCTCTAAGAGAACGCCAAAAAGCACGGTAATTTTTACCGAAGCGTTAGGATAATATAATTTTGGTGAAATTATCAACTAAAATATGATTTTATAATAAGTGATAAAGCTAGGTAAATGTGATAAAATTTGGTAGTTTTATCATGATATTTAGACCATGGTACAAAAACCATTTATTCAGTTAAGCTTACTTTTCAGTTTTGTATTTTTTACTAAATGTGTGGTAAGAACTACAATTTTGGAAACATGAATTTTTGGTGAACCATTATCATATGAAAGGAAAATTTACCAAATGAATTGTTTAAATACCGTATATTTTGGTTTCTATTACCAGAATTATGTTTTTTTTACTAGAAATGTCAGCACTATACGGCACGGAACTTTTAACAGATTTTTTTTCGTGTATGGCAGCGCAATTGGTAAAAAAAAGTCCAAATGCAATTAATTCTTTTTATGAATTGGCATTTAAATATAAAATAATGGCTTTATCAATTAGTGGGTAGTCTAATCTCCAAAATAGATATGCCAAGAACATTTTTTCAAAATTTTAAGTACATAGGATTAACAGATTTTATGATATCACATGTGAAAATAAAAGAAACTAGGAGGCTTCGCCCCCTGCTCGCTGGCGCTCGCCAACCCCCAATTCAGTTAATCAATGTGTGGCGAAAATGCATGTTTTTGATGAAATTTGTGTTTTTATGTTTGTATAAGTTTCTTAATTCGACGAATTGATCGTCCGGATCATTTCCTAAGAAACGGTTTTCATCAAAAAGAAAGAATATTTCATGAAATATGAGTATTAATTAATTAATTATTTTTTTTACATCGCAGTGGGAGTTGTTACATGAATAAGTTTCTTGCGTTATGTATGCCACGTTAGATTAAATTCTTTATTTTTTCATCATTAATTAAATTTTTTAAAATTAATTCAATTTTTTATTTAATTAAAATAAAATACATTAAGTATTTTTTTTAACCAATGATTGCTTTTATTTTGCCTGAGTATTTGTTTTGAAAATATTTAAAATGTTTTTTCATTATCTTTTTATGAATTTTTAACAAAGTGTTTCAACCACCTGTTATTGTTGATAATTAAAAAAAATATTTGAAAAATATGTATTATTTATTTAGGTACTGTAAAATATTATTTAGTTTATACTGAATATTGCTTGCGTCCTATCTTTACTCTAAATTGATGAGTGTTTACCTTCTTTATTCACTTTTCCATACTGTATATTCTATAGAAGTCTACATCCCTTTTTATCTATAGCTATATTTTGTAGCTCAAACTTTCTGTGTTTCTCTTTATCTCTAAATGGAAAGAACAAATTAATTTAATTTAAGCAAATGATGGTGGCATGTTTTAATAAACCACGTCTGTTAACGCCGGTGACAAACAAAATTGAAACGAAATAGAGTTTGAATAAGAAAAGAAAATTTTTTGAATAAGACTTCAAAGTTAAGGAACAAGACGTTTTAGTCGTTTTAAAATTTTGGATGATTTTTTGGAAATCGACAACTAAGCATTTTAAATAAAAATTTTAAATACATTTTACCCAAAACCATGTTTTTTTACTTGAATTTGTCAGCCATATTTCAAATTTTACCAGTTTTTACCTGAATTGAATTGTAGTACTTAACTTCAAAGATGTCACACAATACTTTATTCGCAAAGCAAAAATAAGTATTTCTTTCTTTCTGCATTCGAAAATTTATAACCATAGAAACAGATATTAAGATGAAAAAAGTGTAATAACAAGGTAAAAAGAGAAATAAAAGAAAGAAATTAAAAACAAAAATGAATAGAGCTTTTCTTAAGTAAGATCTTCAATAAATAGCAGAAGTTATTCAAAATCTCCTAGTCATGTTACTTTTCATACTATCATGCTGGTTTAACGAGTCGTTGTTTAATTTTGAACTGATATTTTTATTTATAAAAGCATTTCCGCAATAGTCACAATAGGGCCAGGGGATTCATGGAGGTTCAGGCTCCGAAATTTCATGGTCAACGACATGATTATGGTTAGCACTGCGCACAGGCCGCCATTACTACCCAGACAAGCTGGTACACATCGATTTGAAGCTCCGTGGTCTTCAAGCCGCCACTGGGGTTTGAACCTCGGTTCTGCACAATGACAGTTCAGTGCTTTCCACTTAGGCATCGCGGCTCGATATTTTTTTTTTGTCTAGAATATATTATAATTTTGTGAAAAAATTTAGATAATTCTTAAAGTTATAATTTAGTTAAATACTAGTTAGCATTCGATGTTAACTTGTGTAGTAATTATTCAACGTCAATCATTGTTAAAAATTGATGAAACGCAAAGAAACACAAGTAAAAAATTTACTAATGCAAAACAAAAAGATCTGCTTGTAGTGTTTAAAACACGGGTCGTTTCTGATAAATATTTACTTGTTAACATTGATTATTTTAATTGTCAAAAAATAAAATCGATGCAAGTAGTTGATTTCATGGAAACTGCATTTGCAATGAAAGGCAAAATGTAAATGCTAAAAGCACTTATGTAATTAAAAGTAATTATTTACCTATCAGGGCAATCTATTTTGCGATTCAATATTTCGTGAAGCAAAACAACGCGTCAAGTCTTTCTTCATAGTTCTAAGATTTTCATTTGTTTATTGGAGTGACTTATGATATGTACCTCACTAGTTGTAAGCTATTATTAGTGGAGAAAAATATAACAAACGCACGTAATAGTAATTGTAACTGTTTACTGATATACGACGAACTTTTCTAGAAATTTTAAGACAAACGCAGTTGAAGGTTTATTGTGTACAAATGATTTATCCTTATTTTTTATTTATTTTCTGTAAATAGTATGAACACATAAAGCTTATTTAGAATTATTACAAAATAATTATGACAGGAAAACGTGAAGTAATCACGCAATGGCATTCTTAAATTAAAAATCTTTTTTTTAAATAAATTTTTTCTTTTATTTTTCCTTTTTTTTATTCTTCCAATTTTGTAGCTGATCATAATTTCAATCACAAAAATAACTTATTTTGCATCTAATAAATTCCTATTTTTGGAAAATTATTGGTATTAAGTTCACAATTATTAATATCAAACCTGCAGTGAGAAAAAAGTGTGGTCAAAACTACTAGAATATGGAAACATTTACCGCGTTTCTGGCTCTATGGTAACTCCAGTAATCTCATTTAGCCATTACATTAGTGCATTTTTGTGAACATTTTCTTTCTTTAAACAAACAGATCTTATTGTTTACTCTTTATTAATTGTTTGTTAACTAAGAGTTAAAGTTCATACATGCAAAAAGAGTTGCCATATTGCTAATTTTAACTTTTTTCTGACTTGGCAGCGCATAACTCTGTTTTGCTAATTACGTAATATTATTTTCTTTGTTTCCTTTGCAGTATATGCCAAAACAATACAAATTGCAACAAAATTGTATTAAATGGAACATATCATAAAATGCAACAGATAAAATTCATATAAAAATATTTTTATATGGGTTTTTCAATTTTGCATTTTATCTTTTCTTAAATTTAAATATAATAATGCACATAAATATATATGTTAAATAATATCCGAACAAAATAATATTTAAAAAATATACATGTGATATTTTTTATAAAATATACATTACATGGTTTT